GTACAATCTTCTCCTGATTGTCCTCTCCATGTTATCAATGCTCTTTCCACAATGTGCTATCTGGATGTGAACACAGTACTTTCTATATGGTGTGAGCTGGACAGAGGACCATGGGGCTTTCACCTCCTTAGTTACAGACTCTTATCGATGACCTTGAGTTTTGGCAAGACTAGACCTATGATTTCACTGATGTAAGAACTCCTGATGAAGAAATTTCTTTTATCAATACAAATTAACATCTTGCCTGCAATATATAGTCTTAGGGTAACTTGGGGTCAAGTGACTTAACTAGGATAAAATAACCAGTATTTGTCAGATATAAACCTTGAACCCAGGGCTTCCTGACTCTGAGGCTGGCTTTCTATTCATTCCTCTATGCTGAATATCATTGGTGTTCTAAATCTGCCCAATATAAAGGTTTATCTAATATGTCTTATTTGTTTATTGTTTGATAAAAGAAATTAACTACAGTAAAATATATGTTTTTTATAAATCCACCAGACATGGTAGGGACTAAAAACTCTACCACAAGCCTCACAAAAATCAGTTCATTCTGCAGTGCTCTGAAATGATAATATGTTGTCATAATTAAGTAATCACCAAAGATTCACCAAACCCCTCCTATGGGTCAGACCCTTCAGGAAACTCTGGATTTGTAAACAAATAGAAAAAAAATGGAATCATCCCTAGTCTCAAAAAAACTCACATTCTTTTCAGGGAGACAAGAAATATCATTATTAATATTTACAGAATAAATCCAAAATAAGTGATGTCACAAGAAGATGCAGTGATAAATATTACATCATCAAAGAAAAAAAGTTATATTTAATGATGCTTGTGCATATTTTATGGTACTCAGATCCTTCATAAAGTGATTAATTCTATGACATACATCTTTACCAGAATATTTGGAGAATCAATTATCTACCCATAGTCCTCAATAAACAAGTAAAATACATTTATTATTAGTTAAATCTCAATTCAAGCCTTACGCTAATGCTCTATCATGGAGAATCTTTGGTTTTCTGAAACGCTAAGCAGAAAGCTCAAGCTCTGGCAGGTTTTACCCAGAGGGGAAAGCTTGTAGTTCAAGGCCACAGTTGATCTGAGTGTCTGTTGTCCAAAAGACAGCTAAGTTAAGGGAGAGTCATTATCAGGAGGTTAGCTATTAGGTCATTGTTTTGGTAACTCATGAAGGCCATATTCTAATAGAGACATCAGTGCAGGTGAAATTTCATCTGGAGATGAAATTGCACAATTTTGGCACCATTGATACATGAGTAAATATGAACTTTCTCTCTACAGTGGGGTCTCTAGAAAGAACTCCAAAAACCCTGAGAAAGCTTCTTCCTAGGCAAGTGTTCATGTAACACAAACATAGAACTCAACACAGTGATGCTTTCTAGACCGCTGGAGGAAATGGAATCTTTATCAAACTTTTCTCCCTTTTCTTCCCAAACATTGAAATACCACATTCATTCCAGGTTGATTTTATTGAAGTAAGTATTCCATCTCTTTCCAGAAGTTCATCCATGAAAATTTAAAAATAATATGATTTTGATGAAACTTTTAAAGAATTAGTGTTAATGTGCTCAATCTAAACACAACAGAGGCAATAGCTAATTGGTCAGATAATAGATACACTTCTAATTTCTAACGCTGAGTGCCAGGCACTAAAAAAAAAAAAAAACTTCTTTATTTTTTTCCATTATATCAAGATGGCTATCATAGCATCGTTCTTACATAGGGCTTTTAAACCTTAAAAATATGAAGAAAATAGTTGGGAATGATGAAACTTACTCTATGGTAATACTATCAACCACAGAAATAAACCAGTCCAATATTCTCATTTTATGCATGAGAAAGCTGAGGGCCAGAGTCCTCAAGTTCTTTGCCCAAGGTTATATAGGGAGTCACAGAGTTGGGAAGTTTAACCTTTGCCTTCTGGCTCTAAAGTCAATGTAATTTTGAGTACCTCATACTGACACTTAGAGATATAAATATGTGATGGTCAGAGTCTTGCCTCCAGGGGAGAAAATTTAGGCAAAGAGGACATCAAAGGATATTTTTTCCTCTAATACCTTCTCTGTCCTCTCCACCTGAGAGCACTGTGTCTGTATGGCAAGGACACTTCCTTCTTTTTCAGTAATTTAGAAAACTTTTGGTGTCCTGTGCACCAGATGAACTTTCATGTTTCCACTCCTTTACGACATTTGCCTTCGGTAAAGAACAACTCATACAGAAAACTGCTGCCATCCTCAAACATGTTGAATGTTTTTCTTTCTTTCTTTCTTTCTTTCTTTCTTTCTTTCTTTCTTTCTTTCTTTCTTTCTGTCTGTCTGTCTGTCTGTCTGTCTGTCTGTCTTTCTTTCTTTCTTTCTTTCTTTCTTTCTTTCTTTCTTTCTTTCTTTCTTTCTTTCTTTCTTTCTTTCTTTCTTCCTTTCTTTCTTCCTTCCTTTCTTTCTTTCTTTCTTTCTGTCTTCCTCTCTTCCTCTCTTCCTCTCTTCCTCCCTCCCTCTCTTCCTTCCTTCCTTCCTTCCTTCCTTCCTTCCTTCCTTCCTTCCTTCCTTCCTTCCTTCCTTCCTTCCTTCCTTTCTTTCTTTCTTTCTTTCTTTCTTTCTTTCTTTCTTTCTTTCTTTCTTTCTTTCTTTCTTTCTTTCTTCAGTGCAGAATTCCTTGCTTAATTTGCATATCAAATAGAAACATTTGGATTGTCTTTGTTTTTTGGATGTGAGAGAGGGACACCAGGTTTTTATCTTAAAGTTGCCTTGACGCTACTAGTATCATAGTGTGTCAACCCATTCATGTCCAAGTAAAGCCAAGAGATTCCTAAATATTTCTCATGATACTTATGTGCAACCTTCTCAATGCCAAAGACAAAACTGTCTACCTAAGTTTTTAGTGTTGCCACACAAATCATCAAAATGATGATACTAAAGCAAGGAGGTTTAAATTGAAGGTGAAGTTCCTAAAGATTTTGAAAAAAAATTTCCTAGTATATTAGAATTGATGGATAATACCATTAAATGTACACATGCATGCATATATACATATATCACATATGATATATGTATCTATATGTATGATATGTAGTTTTCACATGAACAAAATGGTGCAACCAAAATTTCATTACTGTTCACAGTTGGGGCTTTGTAATTCTATGTAATTTTAATTAAAGAAGAATTCTGGAACAGTCTCCCTCTGTGCTACCTCCAAGCACACAATTAGTAGAGTACAATTTCTGCTGTGAACAGTCAGTTAATGATTTCAGTTTAATAATTTATGATTGCTTCCTTGGTACCAGACATATAAGAATGACAGAAAGGTAAAAGAGGATATAAACAGTCATTGAAGGTGGAGGTTGAAATGGCTGGAAGACCATAGTGTATGTCTTCTACACATAGATCTAGCCATATTATATGGCTTCTCATATTGTATATGATGTGTACACAACACGTAGCCATTATTTCAACATATGAGTCCCAGTTAGAATAAAGTCCTTATAGGAAAATAATGATAATAATGTAATATCTTTCAATTTGATAGTTATCTAGTTACCCTCCCTTTCTCTTGATTATACCCATTTCCTTTACAAATGGAGTTCAAACTAGGGTCAGAGAACCTGAGTTTACATTCCAGACCTATGTTATATCCTCTTTGTGATTTAGGGCAAGTAATTCTAGGCCTGAGTTTCTTCATTTGTAAAAAGAAGAAGTTGAATTAAATGATCAATTAGACTAATTCTAACTATGGTGCTATGAACTGTACCATTTCACCCCTTTGAACCTTGATTTTGTCACCTGAGGATAAAAAGGAGATTGGACTAGAAGACCTTTCAGATTCCTTCCCAGTCTAAATCTCTGATTCCTCTTAAAATCCAGGCACTGTTTTATTAACCTTATTTCTTTTTGTTTTCCATATAAATAATTTTCCAATACATTTTCCATAGTGCCTTGGGAGGTTGGCATAAAAGTACAAGCATTGCCTTTTCGGTTTATTTATAAGACGCAAGAGTAGGACACTTTAATATCATCCTAATTTTCAGTAATGTTTTCTTAGACCATGCCCTGCCTGGCCCTGGGGTTGGCATCAATACAAAGAATATAATAGAATAATTCTCTCAGATCATTCTCATCTGACAGGAAGAAAATATAATTGAGTTAGTTTTCCTCACTGATGGAGTAGTGAGGGGACCGCTCAACAACCAAGTTCACTAAAAGTATAATTTAAATCACTCATCATTAAATGATCACACATACTCAAGTCCTGTGAGCTCATGACTTTGCTGGCTCCAGCACTGAAATGTAAATCACACATTTGACACTTAGTAGTTATCTTAAGAAGTGAAATTAACCTGTTGCAACTTACCAGGGACTTTTATAATTACCTGTGTCCACCAGCAAATTTTAGGACAAAGATGATTTGACATAATCCAAATGGTGTTGTTAAAAGAATTTCATGACATACAAGGAAAAGTGGGCTGGGGAAGGCTTCGAAAAATATATAGGGATTAAAATTTCCTTCTTTTCACAACTGTGATGACACCATCATGCTCTGTTGATATTGAATGTATATATACATACCTATCTATGTGTATACACACACACTTAAGTACAAATACACATACAGTTGCATACAAACACACATTCTAATATACATAGGAATGGTTGTATCACCCCAAACTAACAATCCCATATTCTTCTTCAGTATTTAATGATGTAATCTTAAAAGCCACCTACTTTAATGTAACTAACTCTGAGCACAAGATTACATATTTTTACGTAGCCATGAAGTTTTACTTTCTGCTATGTTAAAAGCAGTGCCCACAGTGGTATAAGACAGTTGTGTGATTACCATATACAAGAGTCTTGTTTGAGAAACACTAACAAAAGCAGCAACCTATAAATATTTTAAAATCAAGCCTTCAACCATGGAAAATGTGTTATATGCTTTACTGTCCATTTGGGGGATAAGAACGTCTGTAAATTATTTTTTTCCAGATATTCGGGACAGTGGGGGCCCCAAACCTGTGATGGTGTACATTCATGGTGGCTCCTACATGGAAGGCACAGGGAATTTGTATGACGGCAGTGTCCTGGCAAGTTATGGGAATGTGATAGTCATCACAGTCAACTATCGGCTGGGGGTACTTGGTAAGAAGAGTTTTTATCCCATTCATCCAAGAAATGTGTGATGATAATACCTTTTATATTCTTATGGGTGTATGTTTTTTGAACATAAAGATTGGTTTTCTTCTTGAGGCGGGGAAATAGTCCTTTCCTGTTGCTGTAGAAATGTCTGATGATTTGCCAAAGGCCGAATGGAAGTGTTTTTTCAGAAACAAAGATGGAAAGAAAGTGAATTAATCAGATTGTTTGGGAATGCAGTTGCTGTGGTGTGAAGTCAACATGGCAGAGTACACTAAAGAATAATTATGGGGTCCCTGAGATTTTTGTTTTCTTATAAATGGATAGAATAGTCTGGTTTGCAGTGGAATTGAATTGTCTGAGATTGAATCGTCTTAAAGAATTTGGATGCTTGGCATTGCCTGTGGGAGGGGAGAGGAATGGTGCTGTTTGATAGTTGTTTCCAGGTTCATTTTCTCAGTAACAGATATGAAATTTGATGTTGAATTTTTCTTTTAGTTTAACTTGAGTTGAGAAACCATTACAAAAAACTTGAAGCTTCATTACAAAAAAATAAAAAAGATAGTTTAATTCACTTATTGGCAGCATGTCTGAAACAAGTCAAATATCAAGGAGCCAAAAGGAGTATGCATTGATTTTGGGGACTTTTTTATGTACATAAAATGCTTTGATACACTTGGAGATGAGTGTGGTCAGAAGGAGATTCTCTGCCAAATTTCTTTGAAAGATAAACTTACATTATCTACTTATGTGGATTTATCGGCGTATTCTGATAGTTACACACAATAAGGTAAATGGTGTTTTGAAATGCCTTCATGTTGATTGTCTACCCACGAATAGACTTTATCTCTAAAATTTGTCTTTTTCATGTGAATATTTCTCACTGGTTACTCATGTTTCATAATACTTAAAATAGTACCTTGTTTTCAAAAAAACTACATAATATTAATTTTGGGACAAAGGAAGGGAATATAAAATTTTTTCGGGGGAAGTACTTAATTGTGTGTATCAAAGTATCACACTCTTCTATGCTAATGCATTTGGCAGAAAGTTTACTAAGTTTTTTTCCCCCGAGATTCATCGCTGAACATCATTTCTTTGTCATTTGCTTATAAAACATTTTTACTTCCCTTCATATTATTAGCTATTACATTACTGATTAGCTCTTCTATTTAATAATGATCTGGTGATTATGCTCTGTTTTTTTTTTATAAATGAAAATGAGGAAAACATAATTCACATCTGCCATTTTGGAGAAGTTGGAGCAACATTAACTTTGTACATGGTTCCATTGTGACATCATCTATTCTACATGTTAGATATACTTTGAATCTCAAGTGTAGTATGCATCTGGAATATTTTTAAAAGATAACTGCTTGCACATCAGTACTATTTTACTGCATTTGTTACCCTTAAAACATAGTTCCCACCTTTCTTACCTTCTTTCTTTTGGTTTGCTCATTTCTAGTGTGGATCTAAAGCAGACCTGTGTGTGTGTGTTGTTTTTTATACCTTAAAAAGACACTATTTTGCATTGTTGCAGCTGAGTCTCTAGTGTGAAGAGCAAATCTATAATGTAGATGTTACTTCATCTGTAGCATGCCAAATGATATGTTTGAGTGTCGTGTTGTTGTTTTGACTCAGTTTGACTCATTTGATCCCATTTCTATTTTATGTGGGTTCAGTAGAGTATTGTGTCTTTGACTTTAGCCTGTCAACTTTATTCAAAGTACGGATAGCCCCTGAAAGCATGGCATAAGTCATAATTTGCAACTGGTTTGATTCAATATTCCTTAGGATATATTCATTAAGAATGTAGTGTCTGAGGATAGAGAGTCTACTTACCTCCTTCCTAAAAGCTTTGTGTCCTTGTGAAGAAAGAGTTAAGTCATAATCTTGGTCATAAATATAATTACTTATCCAGACTGCGATAGCATTAGAAACATGTCTCTATGTATTGCATTGGGTTTTACATAAGCATTCAACTATGTAGTTGTCCACAGGCAATGGTTACATTGTGACATAAAAGTTCAAAAATCTTCTTTTTCTCAAGACAATTTGAACCTTTTTTCGGTTATTTTAGGAGAAATATTTTTAAAGCTACAAGACACTGGTAGACTTTCAGTTGGTTAAATTGTAATATGTAAATCTTTGATTCCCAATCACTCTGTTACATGTTTAAGAATTCCTAAATTTGCTACAAACTACTTAGCAGGGTGGGTGTCCCATGCTCAGATAGAAACAAACACAGGAAAGTCTGTTGGGCTAAGTCCACAAACTTTGGGAAAGAATGTACTTGAACAGGATCTCATTGAGAAAATAGAAGAATCTCCCCAGGACATGGGGACATAGATCAGATCAAGGACATGTGCCACTGCCTTGAGGTTGTAGGGCTAAATAAGGTTAGAGGAGTGATATTTATGGATGGGAGACAAATCAAGTTAGGGCTTGTGAACTAAGACAGAGGCATTTCTGGAGGAAGGTGAAGAGATGGAAGTGAATCTGTGATTGTAGTATAGAATCCCAAATTATGAAGGCATCGTAGCACAAAGTGGTGGCTGTCTCTTTCACACAATTGGCAGATTCATGAAAATAAAAATAAAAAGAGATATGCAGAGCAAATAAAATCAAGGTGGCTTCAACAATAATATAATATACTTTAGTTTGCAACTTAAAAGGAAAAAAAAAACAGGCCTCTTCCTCACACATTTGCTGGAAGTGAATTTTTATTTTCAATGATAAAGTTTATATGAGAAAAATTATGGAGCTAACCCATCGAGAACTCCACATTGAAATGTTTTACTGGTCCTCAGTGATGCAGATAACTATAGATGAAGGTATTGCCCTAAAAAGGACAAAATTCCCTTGTTTATTTCCATGGCCTCTTTTGAAACTTTCTCAAGGATAATGATTTCAGATTCCCTTCCCCCACCCCTTTTTGAGAGTTATTACGGGTAGTGATAGAAAGTAGTCACTCAGCCTCAGTCAATGAACTAATATACTAATATATATATATATATATACACACACACACACACACACACACACACACACACACATATGAACTGCCCTGTTGCCATATTCCCTTAGTAAAATTTCATTTTGATTACTTTTCCTTAGCCATTTTTACTCCCTGATCTGCACTGAAGTAAGGGTGGGTGGGAAGAATTATTTTCATATCTTCATATTTTCTAAATTATACCTACTACCTTATATAGAGATATTAATTATATATATATATGTATATGCATATACATACATACATAAAGACATACATGTATGTGTAGCTATATGTATCTATGTCTATGTGTGTATGTGTATATATATGTGTGTGTGTGTGTGTATATATATATCTATCAGGCAAGAATCTTTTGTCCTCACTTACCAATCACTTTGACATCTTCAAGATATTGTTTTTTGTTCGTGCTCTAATACCTTTACCTTTGACCTTTCCATTTTTTTGCATATTTCTTTTCGTGCTTGTCTCCCTAGGTCTCTTATGTCAAAAACAAACAAACAATACATTGTAGTATATTGGATAAAGAACTGCTTTCAGCACTAGGAAAACCTGGATTCAAGTCATGCTTTTGAAATATATTGACTGTATATCCCTCACCAAATTACTTGATGTATTACTATGATAGGCAAATCTCTAAGACTGTAAGTAGTAAAGTGTTGACTGAATTAGTAGAGGGAGTTTCCTCACTAGGGAATGTTGTTGTTCACTTGTTTCAATCGCGTCTGACTCTCCTTGACCTCATTTGGGGTTTTCTTGGCAAAGATACTGAAGTGATTTGCCATTTACTTCTCCAGGATGAAGTGACTTGACTAGGATCACGCAGCTAGTAAGTGTCTGCGGCCAAATTTGAACTCAGGGCCTCCTAATCCAAGCCCAGCAGTATAGTCCCATTCCACTTAACAGCCAAAGAAACCACAGTTCCAGGCCCTATCACCTGTCCCATTTTTTTATGCCTTTTCATGTTAAAACATTTCAAAACTGTTAGAAGTATTATGGGGTCATCTATAGTATGAAAAAAAAAGAAAAGTGACTTTTTAAACATTTGGGAAGTAGAAATAGTTAATTACTGTATTTCACTGGTAGATTCAGAATAAAAAAGAAAGTGATCTTTGGAAGAAGCGTGACACTCATAGCATCCTTCAAACCAGATTTAATAAAAATTATATCTGCTGGAAATCAGAGAGCGTGTGTGATGATGTTGTTATGTATGCTAGTGGAGAGTTAATGTGTATTTATTTTGGTCAAATATTCTTGCATAAATTTTTGAGAAAGTCATATCTTTTTGATTCATGGGCACATTTGGGGGGAAAACACTATTATATATTCCTTCTGGGAATGTTCATTCTACAGTTTTCATTTAGGCAATGATGTCATAGATTTCTCAATTATTTTATTTTGCTTTCCACAGTTTTACTGAATAAAAACAAAAATTGGTAATGTGACAAATTTGCTAATGGAAAAATTAAAAAGGTTATAATAAATTTGTATTTATTTTACACAAAAAAAGGCAAAGAGGGTCATTGATACTTTTGATTTTATCCATGACCTTCCATTTTCTAATTAAGACAAGCTTGCTTTCTTGGAGCAACATAAAATTCTTATTATTGCTAATAATATTATGATATATATAACAAGGATGACTAATACTAATAATTAACATCATCATGGTATTGCAGTGTCTAAACACCTTGCATGTGGCAAGGTCTCTGTTGGGTAATATTGTAGATAAAAGTTCCATGGCTTAGTTGGAAAGACAAGTAAACATAAATGAAACAATAAACAGTCAATTAATAAACATTTAGTAAACAGTTGATTGTGTTCCAGGCATTGTCCTACATGCTGAAGATATAAGGACAAAAAGATAAATGAAGTCTCTGCTTTTGAGAAGTTCACGCTCTATCAGCTCCTCATGTGTGATTATATTTCCATTTATTGCCCTAATATTCCCAGCACCTAACATGGTGCCTGGCACATAGTAGATACCTAA